CTGCGAGTCAATCGTACAGTTTGAGCAGGAGCTGAATAACGCGACTGAAAGAAATCGCACAGTGTATGCCCAGCTTATTGCAGCATGGAGGATTCAGGGTCACCTGAGTAGGCCATCAGCCTACTAAAAGGATACTGAAGAAACCCGTCGAAATAGGCTTAGTCTTCATCACTGCTGCTGCTGGACTCATTTGAACACCTCCGAAATTTGCATGCCGGCAAGTATTCCTCTTCTTCCTCAAAGTCCTCTCGGGAACGCTTCCTCGAGCCTCCAGCTTCATGGTTGTCAAGCTCTTCGTGCGCATCTTCAAAAAGTTCATCACTGCTGCTCTCAGAGTGGTCGCACACAGTTGAGCTGGTCCCCGAATCAGAGTGTGCAAGCCTGGATTTTTTGCTATTACGACCTTCTTCGTCAACATCTTCCTCTCTGGACCTTTTCGTGGATCCACCAGGCTGCGGTTCTTCTTCTGTTACCTGCTGATTGATGTCCTCATCGGCAATATTACCAACCTGAGGACAGCCCTCGCTATCAGTATCAGAGGCAGAGAAGAAGTCAGAGTCATCATCGCTCCATCTGATTCTTTTGTTTGGTTCCACATCTTCTTCATCCAGCTCTCTAGACCTCCTCCTGGAAACACCTGGCTGAGGGTCCTCTTCTGGGATGTACTGGTGAACATCCACACGGTCTTCAAATGCCTCCTCATTTTCAATGCCACCAACAACCACAGCATTATGATCCTGGTGCTGTTCATTGTTGTCAGCATTGGCATTATTGTCCCTCAGATTAATATTTTGAGCGTTGACATTGTTGTCATCGTCATCGTCATCGCTACCGTAGAAGTCATCATATTGTCCCAGTGCTGAAGCTATTAGCTCATGCAGAAACCAACAAATATCACGGAGAGCGAGATACAGATTGTTCACGAAGCCTCCATTAACTGGTTCATTAGCAGGTTGCTGATCTCCATTTGCAAACCTTTGTGTGTTAACCTGTTGGCCTGCAAGATCATTAAATCTTTTAATTAACATCCATAACTATCTGCTGAAAATCTGTTTTTCATCAATTTCAAGACTGAGCACATGTGCTTACCGTTTTGGTTATTTTGTGGTCCGTCTCCACTTGCACTCATTTTGACTACAAGGAACACAAAACAACAATGATCACTAAACCTCAACCCAGAATGTTCAGAGAATTTGCTTTTTTGTGATGACTTTAGGCTGCGTCCAAACGTACACGGCTATGTTTGAAAACGGACGTTTTTCCTTTTTCGTTTAAAAAAAACCCGCCATCGGCTAAGTAAAACATCACGTGGGAATGTTGGCATCAAAGTCTGAAGCCTGTGGACCATAAAATTAACTCTGATTTCTTTTCTGGCCTATTTTTCTTCAGGCTCATCTTTCAAATGCTAAAAACTAAAGGAAACGACTTCACAGAACTTGATGACTCAAATGCTTACAGCATACATAAATGTCATTTTTTTAAATTACATTTATTCCAAACCGACGTCAGGATTTGGGTTGGGAGAGCGTCTGTGTTGAATGTAGAAGCCACGTCTGATGCCTCTGTGTTTCTAAATGGAGGCACAGTAACTGTGTGTGTAGATGTAAGTGTGTCAAAACTGCAGATACTAAGATGAACAGACACAGTATGTTGTCTACATCTGCCATTGTAGAAACTGATCTCATGTAAACACTAACGTGGCCACAGCGTCAACAGCGGCGCACACTTTTGACATTGCCTGAGTAAATGTCCGTTTTCCTCGTCCACACCTAAACACAAAAACGTGCCTTTTTAAAAATCTCACCTTTCAGTGACTCAATCTGCTGTTTAGGTGTGGACAGAAAGGCCCAAATGCAGAGACAAAGCTGCGCTTTCAAAAATACTGGCCGTTTGTACATGTGCACGTAGCTCAGTTTCTCAGAAATTCTAATAGTTTGTTTGAGAACAAAACTTACGTCTTCTCTATTTTCCTAAATGAACAAAATAATCTGAGAAATAATCGTGTTAAAAAGAGCTTCTGTCACTCTAAGATATGATTAAGAACATTTTCTCATTTATGTACATTTGTTTTCCTGAATAATAGATCCACATCATCCTCTCTATGATGGAAAATATAGTCTAGTCTTGCACAATGTAAAGTACATGAATACTGTCCTGGCAGGCAGGAAAATCAGACTTTATATATTTAAGTAAAAGCTCTTAAGTTTATAAAGTGAAATTTGAGCTTACTTGAGTTCTTGGTAAATTACAGAGCAGTTAATCCTCAGGGAAACGTCGAAATGTCACTAAATAGTGGTCTGCTTTCATACGGTTGCAGTGTCTCTTCAGTTTTGTGTTCATATGCTGATGTTTTCATTCAAAACATGCTTAAATGCTGTGATGTCACTTTAGCAGCAAAGACTGTGGAATGTGCAGAGATTCTTTTTACATTTGCTCAGAGTTTGTTATCTTTTAAATGGAGACAAAACAAAACAGACAGAAGTGAATCTAAAAGACTAAAGCAGTCAATGTGTTATTATTTTCATTTATTCTGATAGTTCCTGTAAAGTTCTAAGAGATTCATCTCGGCCTTCATGCAGGATTAAAGCTCAATAACACACAAAATATAAAACATTTCTTTATGGTTGTTAGGCAAAGTTATCAAAGCATATATCCACTAATATGCTCTCATTCTTGCTCTGCTCCCTAATTTTTCCCTGGAGGCATCGCTATGGCAACAAAACAACAAGCTGTTTCCAGAGCTTAATATTGAACATGTCTTTGTTATAAACTTTATTTGTACAAATGTGTGATGTTGATGTGCACAACGTGGGATTTAGACCTCGGGGGGTTAATCAACAAATCACGAAAAATTAGCTTTAAATTTGTGTTGTGCAGATTTCTGACATTTTGTGTACTTTAAGCATTTAACAATTTGATTGTTTTCTAATAAAAACTGTGTGAAACTCAAGTTAGACCTGTGTTTGTAAATGAACCGCCCCATGTTGTGTAGCTTTCTGGATTTTATACTTGTTGGGCTACATATTTATTTGCTATACAGTAGATAGAATCTAAACTCACATGTTTTGTGTAAGTAAATAGTTTAATCATGTGGGCTACAGACAGTAATCAAGCTATGGACTATATTGATATGAGAAACGTGCACACTTACTGCATTTGAATCATTTTAACCATATGTAACCAGCTGCATGTCATGGTCCCGGGACTTCTACCTGGTTTTTGGTGTCTTGTATTGTTGTTGTTTGATGTCAGTTTTAGGGTCCCTCGGTTGTTCTGTTAAGATGTTGCTTATTTGATTTCCCCTCGTGACTTTACCCCCTGTGTGTCCCCTCTGTGTATCTGCCAGTCCCCATGACTCGTTTCTCCTCCTTGTGTTTTATTCCATGTTTTCCCAGCCCGCTATGTCTGTGACCTCCATATTACTTTGTGCAGCTACGTATCATAAAGGTGCCTGTTATCCTGCTGCGACGTGTCTGTGGACTTGCTTTCCACGGATTTTTCCTCTCTTGATTTGGCCTCACCTGTGGTTCTCAGCATCCTTTCATAGCAGGTGTCCTGCCCTTGGTCCAAGGTGCGCCCCGGCAGTGTTGAAACTGTGCTTTCTCACGATGTTTGCAACCCTACAACCCGTCCTACTCTGTAGTAGAATCAGCGACATTTGACCGTCCTGTTGCTCCCGTTGAATTTTATATAGCATATTTAAAATGTAAAACTTAAAATTGTCCGTAGCCTGCGGACAAATGTACATCTTTTATTAGATGAACACGTGGTTTGGTTATTTGCCTTGTGGTGAAAACACACTGAGAGAGGACTTTTTATTAGTCATCTTAACAGTATTTTTTTTTTCATATTAATGTAATTTGTTCATCTAATTGAATATAATCTATTTGTGTATGATTGTCAGTCCAAAGAGGGACAGAGGAAAGAGGGGAACGTGAGGAGAAAGTACAAGCTCAGGAAGAACCAGGTAAGCAAACAGACAGGGAACAGTGACAGGCACAACGGAAACCGTTTAACTGCTTGAGAGAGTTGACTACCAAAAAGTGATAGACAGATGTGCCAGTCAAGGTGAGGCGACATAGGTGAAAATAAAATGCAAAAAAATCTACAGAGCCATAGTAGTATCTGCAGTAAAGATCTTTTCATCCATTGTACCATAGGCAAAGTTGCAAAACAGTGATGTCATGTATCATGACGAGGACCCAGGCACAGAGAGACTTGATGAAGTTAAGAATCTTGTGATTTAATAAAGAAATTTGCAGACTTGCACAGACATGGGGCGAGGACAACAGACGATGAGGACAGGGAGGTACAGGGGTTTAAATGCACCGAGGAGACAGACAGAGGACGACTGGAGACATGTAGGGATGCAGGGACTGACGAGACGGGGAAGACGTCTCATCGTGATGAGTAAAGTTGATCTTGCCTGGTTGGGCAGCTCTCTGGGTGCTCAGCACCCCCCAAAGCTCTGATCCTAGAACCGCCCCTGGGTGAAAGCTATCAGGCCATATTTCATTTTTCAGGCGAAATTGTTTGACAGAATTTGACTTGTCCATTTGGTGGCGCTAACGCACAATGTTGCTGTTTGCTGAGCGCTAATAACAACCACGAGGAAGGAGGCGTTCATTCGTTCCTGTGGAGGGAAAAAGGCGCATCTCAGCGGCTGAAGCTGAAAGTCGTGTTTCTCTGTCGACTGCTCGTAACAGGTATGACAATAACGTTTCCTTTCATTTTAAACAGAGCTGCTGTGTCATGTTCTTGTCACACTTTAGAGCTCCTTCATCTGACAGCAGTTAGCTTACATTATTCATAGCTTACCCAAAGTCTCTCAGTTTGGTTCTGTCTAAACTGTAGCCGCTAACATCATGGTGTCCTGCCTCTGCGGCTCTGACCGTGAAATCCTGCAGAGCCGAGCGGGAGCTCCCCGGGTTTGGGTCCGATCAGCAGCCTGTTTAGTTTGCCACCTTCCTGTGGCTGCGCCTGCGAGCTACTGACGTGTCCGCTTCACGGACGACCCCATTAAGGGCCCAGACGAAGTGATACCTGCCCGATATCCGTGCTCTCTGTTTATTAATAAAAGCCAAACTTCATTAATGGTAAGTGACAGAGATCTGATGAGTTCTTGCTGGCTTGTATCCACAGGAGGATACAAGCAGCTGCTTCTGTTTGCAGTCACCGTGCACCAGTGTTGTGTTTAATTGTGTCAGTGTTCATTTTAAACACGTTTTTTAAATCAAATGTTTATACATCAAGATTAATGTTAAGATCAAGATTAATGACACTATACAGCAAATACATACATAGACATGTGCAGCAGAAGGAATCTGAGAAGATGTTTAGCTTCTAAATGTTTAAATTGTTTGTTTTATATCGTACAAAGTCTGTCAGTTTGTCATTCCCTGTTATTGCTGCTGACTAATCACTCAAAGTGACACAACATGACCGTGGGTCTGATTTTTCTGGTAAACTTGTTTAGCAGCCCACTGGAGACGGATACCCTGTTCTTTGAACTTTAATACTGGACACAAAATCGTCTCCTTCCAGAAACAAAGGGTAGCATTACAACTTGTGTGAACAGCAAAACAATGTAGAAGATTTCCTTTTGTGTCTGTGTTGTGTCACATCAGTTTGGCTCAAAAGAGTTTATTGCTATGTTTGTTTTTTGCTATTTTATTACTACATTTGTATTGTGCAGCACTTCGGTCTGCCAGGTGTGTTTTTAAAGTGCTATATAAATGATGATGACGATGATGCTTACGGAACAGCTGAAAGACTTTAAAACAAACCTGTTACTTTAATGATATTTCTGTGGTACTACAGAGTCCAAAAGAAGTATCGCAGTAATAATTCATCCAAATTGTAACTTTTAAATGTCATTATCAGCCCAAAGGTTCACAACCAGTTCATCCCTGATAGAATGTAAATATATACAAATCTATAAATTGTATTGTGTATATAACTGTGAAACAAACATAATAGACCATTAATGCATCATAATAGTACATTTCTGAATTTGGGGTATAATTCCAGGTGGGATGATGTCTGTACAGCTCCTCCTGTTGATGTAAAAAAAAAAAAGTAAATGCCAGTTTTTTAGGTTTTCATGTTGATGTTGTAACACAGTAAAGAATTACTCTTACAGAAATAAGTGTCATTTTTCAACTTGCAGTTAAATTCATGTAACTTAATGCTGATGCTGTTGACGACTGGGGCTCACACGTCTTTTACTTTGTCTCCAGGACCGACTCACCATGGTTGACCCACAGGAAAATAGCCCGCATGACATTCCTGACTATGACGGCATAGCGGATGAAGCTTTCCCCCCACTCCCACCACCACACTCCCCAGGCCGGGGAGGCCAGGAGGAAGGAGACCCTTTTGCAGATGGTAGATGCTGCTGTGCTCTTACAGGATTACTATGAGGATTTTAAGATGTGATGATTCAGAACTTTGTATGTGAGGAGAAAGATTTTAAATTCATGGTTTAATGAAGAATCACATAGGAAAATAAGATTCGGGAAAAAAGGCTAATGTGGGAGAAATACAACCTCCCATAGTCTCATAGTCCTTCCACAAAGCTTTTTGGAACAGCTTGATAATAATGAATTTGTTAGTTCAGCCTAGAATTAACAAATGCATGAACTGGTTTTTCAGCATCACTCTGAGACTGGATGTTTCTAACAATAACAACACACATGTTTTTGTTTGCGTGAGCAAATGAAACCCATCAGATAGATACTGTTCAAACCAGCACATTTCTTCTGTAACCTCCAGTCTATAATTTGTCTGGATTTAAAGATGAGCTTGAAGTTTGCCACGCTGCCAACAGAATGAGTTAGAAACACATCCTGTTGTCATGTGTTTTCAATGCAGGAGATGAAGGTGAGGTATCACAGCTGGCTGATGTCCCTACTGCTAAAAGGAGAGGCGTGAAGAGACCCCAACCCAAGCTGGACTCCCACAGGTAGCAAAGACATTTATATCACGACAGAGGGTTGAAATGCATTAAAATGCGCATTTAAATAGGAATTTGATGTCATCTTGTGTGAGCTGGGGCACAAGGAGGCCAAAATCATTGATTGACGTGTGCAGACTGTCAGTGTTGCAGCCAGGTTGAACACACGAGTCTGTGACTAGACTGGTTTTTATCACCGTTTCACTAGTAATCGTGCACAGAGGCTCAGAGACACACTGACACACAGAGTTGTTGCAAATGTTTGAAAACTTAAGTTTGTGGAAAGAACTTTGCACAAAAAAAGTGATGTGATATTATCTGAGTGGCGACACCTGTCGCTTCGCAGAGTACTGCAGCGTCTTCTTACGCTTTAGCGGCGGGTACAAATGACTGCATCTGTGTGATGATGGTGCAGCTTCACTCTGCCAGTCATTTAAAGAAGAAAGACTCTAATACCATTGTTGTTTTCATCATTTGGATGGGCAAAATTCCCAGACTGAAAATTGTCAGAGCGTTGGAGACATCCCTGGATGTGTGTGAGAAAGATGTTTCCAGTCTCTGTACACCTATAGTGTGAACCTGGTTAGTATTGCCAACAATAAGTCAGGCTCGTTCCCAGTGGCATCTGAAGGCACTGACATTTCCATTCAGAGGGTCTGTCTGTGTTGGCCCTGTGACAGGCTGGCGACCTGGCTGCTGGGATAGGCTTCAGCCATCCACGATCCTGAATTGGATAAGCCAAATACGCCTGGACGTGCTGCTAACCCTGCTTGTAATCCATTAATGGTTTAACTTAGTCTTAATATTTTTTCCCAGGCTGATATCAGATCGAGGGCTTCCAGCTCTGGGCACTCTCTTTGACAATATCCAGTTCAAAGGCAAAGGACACGAGGTAGGATATGATAACATCTGTCCCACCAATTACCATATGTGAATGAACATTGGTTTTTGAGCTAAATCTGTTTGGCCTGTCAGCTTTTAATTAGATGTCCTAAATTTGGTTTGAGACTAAAAGGTCAAAAGTTGCCGTTTCTGTCGTGGTCAAAAATGAGTGAGGGGAACCAGAGGTTGGTTTACCAAATTAAGATGTCTTTTGTTCCAATGACTGGAAGTCATTTTTTAGTGGGAAGAAGAAACGTCCTATCACACACAGCCCTCTTTCATATCACTACTCGCTGTTTTTGATGTTGGCCCCATTAGGCTGCAGACCTGCGGCTGCTGATGCAGAAGATGGAGAACTGGGCCCACAGGTTGTACCCCAAATTGCAATTTGAAGATTTTATTGACAAAGTGGAAAGGCTCGGCAGCAAAAAGGAAGTGCAGGTGAGAGGAAGCAGTAGAATATTTCCTGCAAGCGTGTGGGATTCCTAATGTTCAGAATTTGTAATTTTTTATCATTCTTCTATAGACATGTCTTAAACGAATACGACTGGACAGTGCCTACACCTGAGCATTTTCATATACAGATGGTAGAGAAGAAAATCATTACTGATGGGGATACGTGATAGGGCTGTGCGATATGACCAAAACCTCATATCCCGATATAAGACACCTATCGTCCGATAACGATATAAATCACAAAAATGTAACATTTTCTGTAAATTCTGTGAATCTCGACTTGCGTGAAGTGTTTCCAGCTGCGCGTCATGTAGCTGGAGTCGAGTGTTTTAACCGATGCATGAAACGACACATTTTTAGACATAAGTTGTAACGGCGCCGTTTTCTTTGTGAGTATTTATTACACGGCGTGCTGCGGGGAAAAGCCTGTTCTAACGTTTGAGTCTAAGGTTTATTTTTTAGCACCTGGCGGCTCTTTTTTACTTCTCATCCGTAAATAATCTGCTCTTTCACGTGATTCAGTTTATTTTGAAAAGTCTCAACAGGATCTTGAGCTTTATTGTGAAAGGTTTATGTGGAACATAAACAAGCGGACACGCGATGTTTTACCGTCGTTGTTGCTAACGACAACGCATAAAAACAGGCGCTTGTCCGTCCGTAGTGTGGTTTATTAAATATAAGAGAAAGAGAGAACTTTACTACAGTGACATCAGAACCATGAACAAATATTGCCGTAAACAGTTTATTTTGCGACACCACGAAACAAACGATAGCGTAAAATGCAACATAGACGTTTCATATCGTCAAACCGTATATATCGCTGTATCGAACAGCCCTAGGGTGGATTCACACCTGCAGGTGCACATAGGAAATACTTGCCATGTTCCACAGGACTTAATTATCAGCATTGCTTGAAATTGTGTTCAGGTGTTGGTGACGAAGAGGTACAACATGAACTGGAAACATTTGGGGATCCTGATCTGTTCAGCAGAGAGAGTTTTATTAATGCTCCCCAAGGGCAGATTGCCGAAGCCCTCGCTCCCCCACCTACTCCCTCTCTGACCGAAGAGCAGCAGAAACGCATTGAGCTGAACAGACAGCGGGCCCTGGAAAAGAGGCTCGCACGCCAGCAGCAAATTGGTAAGAATGGCAAAAATGTATCATACAGCTGGGACACAATATAACAGAAATAATTAATGAATCTGCTACAAAACATCCAGCGAAGGTTCATAAGGATCATCTAGCTTCATTGGTGTATTAACTTTATATGAAAATACAAAAAGCAAAACATTGAATGTACAGTATATCGCCAAAAGTGTTTGCTCATCTGCCCCCACACTCATATGAACTCGAGTGACATCCCATTCACGACGTCCGCCTGTGCAGCTATATCAGCTTCAACTCTTCTGGGAGTGTTTATGGGAGTTTATGACCATTTGTAAGGTCAGACACTGATGTTGAAGGCCTGGCTCCAAGTCTCTGCTCTCATTCATCCCAGTGGTGTTCTGGTCAGGACTCCCATGCCAGAGTTCATGTCTTTGTGGACCTTGCTTTGTGCACTGGTGCCCAGTCATGCTGGAACAGGAAGAAGCCATCCCAAACTGTTCCCTTAAAGTCGGGAGCCAAAATGTCTTTGTATGCTGAAGCATTAAGAGTTCCTTTCACTGGAACGAAGAGACTGAGCCCAACTTCTGAAAAACAACCCCGCACCGAAATCCCCCTGCCACCAAACCTGGAGCTCTGTTGTCCTGGCAACTGCTAAGTTGACTTGTCTATCGGCTTTCCAGATTGAGAACTGTGATCCGTCGCTCCATAGACTGCATCTCTCCTGTTCTAGAGTCCAGTGGCGGCGTGCTTTACACCGCTGTGTCCCATGCTTTGCGTTGCACTCTGTGATGTAAGGCTTGGACTACAGCTGCTCGGCCATGGAAATGGATTCCACGAAGCTCTCTGTGCACTGTTCTTTAGCTAATCTGGAGACCACGTGAAGTTTGGAGCGATGGACTCCACAGAAAATTAGCAACCTCTGTGCGCCTCAGTATCCACTGACCCCCACTCTGGGATTTTACGTGATCCACCACTTGATGGCTGAGTTGCTGTCGTTCCCAAACACTTCCACTTAGTAGCAGCAGTCTGCATGCCTAGGTGCTTGATTCTATACAGCTGTGGAAGTTACTGGATCACCTGAATTCAATGATTTGGATGATGGGTGGTGAGTGAATACTCCTTACAATATAGTGAAGTGGATATAGTGTATATATCCACCAGAAACCCTGAAGGTCGAGTGACGAGTTCCCGTATTGCACAGTTCGTCCAAACCAGCAGAGATTCATCACATTAGTGTGGAGTTTGGTAATAAGAGGCAAAGCATGTAGAAAACATTGATTTCTTTACTGCCTGTCTGATGTCAGCTTCAATTAGGCGTAGTATTTTTGTTTTTGCCTTACACTTGTGATCCAAACTGTTTTTACTTCCTCTTTAGTTAAAGCGGAGCCAGCTGTCTGCGATCTATTGTCTACAAATCTTTAACAGTGACATTAAATCGTTCTTCAGGGTCCTCATTTACCGCAGAAATGATGTAATGTGATTTAAATGAGACCCATAGAAAAGAAAATGACCTGTTGATCGGTCTCTATTATGAGCCTTCACCCATAAAAATGTGTTTACAGTTTATAACACTAGATGGTGATATGAGACCGTTTCCATTGTATTACCCGAGCATGATTTACTCATCGACTTTAAACTTTCACATTTTAGTTATTAGTCCTCCTTAAGAGGAGCCAATCCACCCCCCCCCCTTTTTTTTCTGTCCAGTATAGAAACTAAACAGCTGACATCGTTCGGGTAGTGTAGCTTCCAGAGATCTGAAGTTAACGTGAACTCTGGAGGGCAGTCAAAAGCTTAATTTTTTATAATGCAACATACTAGTATTTACATACATATTATTTTAATAAGCAGTTTCAGGGTTCGTGCTGTTTCAATGAGTGTTCGATGGAAAACGACACTGAAGGAATTTGTACTCTTGAGTCACATGAGCGTAAATAATTTCGAGTATGTGTACATAACACAGGCTAATGTTTAAAACTATGATTATTATTTTGCTAGCTATCAAACTTGCTGGAGAAATGATTGAAATGCACTGAGTGTGATAGAGTACGGCAGTGCTAGCACAGCAGTTAGTTATGGCATGGTGATTTATGCAGTGTGCTTTAAACTTGGCTAGCATTACTTAGCAGTAGCAGTAATATTAGTGACTTCACTCAAGTGAAAGCTTTAATCGTTAGTCCGACACTTAACTAGCCAACTTAAGACTTAAAGAAAAACTGGTAAAAAGAGGGACTGATGCATGTGGGCACAAAGAAGCCATTTCTTGTGCTGCTGAAGTTCCCTGGCTTTCATTCAAAATGTGTTTATCGTGAGCACCGACACATTAAACCATTTAAAAATTATAAATGGCTTCAAGCTCACACTGAGGCCTGTGGGGCTCTATCAGCCACGGAGACAACAGACACATTTTAGTGTTTTAATGAATGAATGTTTCATATTTCAAGGCTGCCTGTTTATTTAAGGGAGATGAACAATACATTACTATTTGACATAATTCTATGACAGGTGATGGACTGAATAAATAGATTTTAGGTCGATGTTTGTGCGTTCTTAAAGTCTTATATGTTGAACTGAACTGAGTGTGTCATCTGTTCAAAGCCTCCCGTCAGTGCTGTTCTCCATGCCTGTCTTACTGTGCATGGTGTTATTAGCACAAACACTTTAAAGCTGATCATTTAGGACTGTAACAATAATCCAGAGAGCAATGTAGTCAAACATCTCACAGTTAGTTTTATTGGGAATGAACTTTGACCTGTTAGACCCCCAGGGCTTTTCTGAGCTTCCTGCTCGAAAATGAAGAGGCCAAAATAAATGGAGTATTTCTCTGCAATTACAAACTCTGTGTAAACAGTCTTGGTATCAAAATAAAGCTAACGCTTGTGTCATCAGAGGGGTAAATATTACTGCAGATGTTACTATGTCAAAGTTACTGGGACTCAAACATAGAAAAAATGATTATTTCCCTCACCTAATTTTTAAAAGTATTTTATAGCTTATATGCTATAAAATATACTTTGGGTCACATTTAACTCCAGAAAATCATAAATCAAAATATGGATGTTACCTGTCCACAGATTCATGGTGATGTAACTGCTCTTTTAACTGTTTGGTGTTTGTAGAAATGGTTTACAGCTGAGATTCAGAGGCTTCTGTGGACACTCATGTCTGCACTTATATTTCTGACCTCGTGTTATAACTGATTAAATGTGATCTCCTCTCTTTTCCCCCATTTTTGGTGGTGTGGGTGCTTAACTAGTTAAAGTACCAAACATCTGTCTCCTGTTGTTGTGTCACGTAGGAAAGAAGCATCAATATCTGATGAGCAGACTTATTCATTTGTGCAGATTTCTTCTTTTGTGTGGTTGTTTTTTCCAAGTGGAGATGAGCATCTCTAACAAGTTGATTTGTTCACATTTGCACATCTGCATTTTTGAGAGAAATGAGTTTTTTGAGTTTGTGCACTATATGCATATAAGACAACCATTTCCTTTTTCAGTATTTTTGTGTGGTGCATTTTTCTCTGTTTTAACAAAAGAGGAACAAAGAACATTTAAGTCAACCTAAGACGATTTGTTTTAATTTTTACATGGTCTTACTGAGGTGATGCAAAGTGGAACATGCAATCTTTTTTTGGTAATGTGCTGGAAAAGCTTGATAATGGACCTTGAAAGTGCTTAAAAAGTGCTTAAATTTGACCCTGAACAATGAGTTTGAACCCTGCAGTTTACCGTTTCATTTTTCATTGTCTCAGCTTTGCCTGTCTTTTATAAATCGTAGTAGACTGAGTGTGTCTGTGTCGACTGAAACATCACTGTTTCTAATTCTCAACCCTTTCAGGCCCTTCAGACTCTCAGACTGCTGACATGTTAGGAGACAAACCTCCAGCTGCATCCTCACCAAATGTCATCAAAGGTTCTACTGATGGAGATGAAACTGTAGAAGATCCTGACCTCGAGCCTTCCAACAACACCTCCACGCAACAAACCAGCCCGCTTCCCCCCAAAGACTCTGAGCCCGCTGAGGCTGAGACCGGCCTCAGCCCTGAGCAGCAGCTCAGCAACGACTGTGTAGGAGGGGATTAAAGTTCACGTGCAGCAGTTTCTGCTGAAAAGCTTTGGCAGTGAGCAGATTTAAAGGTTTCCCAATGTTCGTGCCTGCTCATTCAAGTAATGTTGTGCATTTCTGGTGGTTTATATCTTGAGCACATGTTCCTACTGTGACGTCAGCTTTGGGTTAGCAAAGACATTTATATTTATAATCAATGGAAATAAATGTTTTTTATTTTTAAAAGTCCAAATCCTAAACGTATTTACCATGTGTTGGTATCTAATGTTACAGAAAAATATTTGAACTGATCCACAGTTCCAGCTCTGATGCATCTTCTTTCTCCAGTTTCACTATTGGCAGAATTTTGGTTGCAAACATGTTTCTATGCAAGGCCTCTGTGTGTGTAGTATGTGAGCTGTCAACTGACCATCACCCTCTTCCAAGCATTAAGTGCTCGTTCAATTATGAACAGTTCGTCCTTAAGCTACTGCAGGGACATGAAAGGCAACACGATGAAGTGGCTCCATCTGCGCTAATGAAAACACCATTTTTAATTACAGGCCACTGCACACATATTGAAATAGTTATGTACAGTTCAGATTTCTGTTGGTAGTTCTAGAAAACAATCTTAAAATCCACAAACCAAAAAGCGGTTCTGATTATTTACCAGTTCAAACAATAAAATGTCCTTAAAATGTTGGTGTCTTCCATACAGGCTCTTGATATACAAACTATAAGATAAATACATCCTAGTTTTATACATCACTTCCAATACAACCAACCTCAGGTGTGTTCATGGCGTGTCCTGGGCGTGTCCTGCCTCTCACCCGATGACAGCTGGGACAGATTCCAGGACGTGCAGAAGAAAATGGACGAGTGGACGTTTTATCATCTCCAGAACAATACTCGTGCTGGGTTTTGTATGAAGTGGTCACAGGTAGTACAATATGTGTGAACTCACCAAAAATGGTTCTATAACACAAGACATTTAATTTACACAAGACATTGATCCCACCAGTGAGATATTGAGATCACTGGTGCTGAGAGAAAAGCCTTTTGTTACCAGACTTCTTTAACCTGCTGCAGTTGACTAGTTGCCTGCAGGATTGAACCACATTTGCAGTTAGTACTAGGTCTTGTCAAAGTAACTGCTGACACTTCACTGGCATGAACACGTTCCCTATCCTCCTTACAACTAAGTTTAACTTGATGTGATTTTAAAAACTAACTTTTACAAAACGTATCCACTGATTCGGTTTGACTCTGGTTTCTAAAAAGATGGCGGGACATGTTTTTACTTAATATTGTGTTTGCTTTCCTGTGACTTCACACACTCGTGTGGTTTGTCCACACACAATCTGGAGCTACAAGAATGACCTGGATGACTCAGCACGAGTGATCTTCAATGATCACCGTTCTGTTAGCGCACAGCGTGCAGTTCTCACAAGTGACTGCTTGGAGGTGAAGCTGGGCTACAGCGTTTCTATGCTGTTGTTGCCGGGAGGCGTGAAGCCCTTTCCAGATCCATCAGAGCCAACTCTCTGATTTCTTCCAGAATAGAGTACAGACTGGGAGTTTTGCTCTGACGAAACTCTCTTTCCTCTTTGGAGAGTTTGGGGCGCCGGGCTGTCTTCTCCTGAGCCAGCGCCTCTTCATTCTGACGCACCACCTCTTTGACCAGCTGACTGCGGCCCTGAGGGCTGGGCTGCTGGGACTTGGCACTGTGGTGAGGCTTGTTGCTGATGACCTCGAGGTTTAGACGGTCAGCGTGGCAAGTTGAAGAGTGGACAGAAATACGAACCTGAAGAGAGCAGAGAACGTAAGTCACAGTATTCCTCAGCTCTATCAACACACAGTAATGGCACCTACTGAAAATAGTCTAATGGAATGCTATGCAAAGACAAGCCCACTTAAGGTTTGTGACGTAATATATAACAGCAGTCCTCTCAGCACTGTGCGCAGCGTCACAGCTAAGACAGTGGTGTAGAGTGGAGAAGTTTCCGACTGTGCCACAATTTTGTTCATAAATAGGATAAATTGGATACGTATGTTACACACACGTGTTACACAAACGTTCATCCATCCGTACACGAACTTTCTTTACTGTGCTTTCTAACATTCACACGACGTGGAGACTGGAGCAGAGGGGGAGAAAAACATTCATTACCACTGTGACCTCGGTCAAGTGTCACAGTGAGGTTGTTGTTTTGTTGATTTGTTTGTTGAATATCATCATCATCATCTCTTTGTTTGATATGATCATAGCTTGACAGCAGTCAATGCTGTGGTGGACAACTTGTGTTTGGGCTAATGTTTCTTTCTATCTTGTTTTGGCCACATGTGTCATCCATCATCATCCATCAGTAAGCTATGTTGTTAGCATTGCCTTTGCCCTTTGACATTTATGATCCCAGGATAAATCCATGAAAGAAAGAAAAGATGTTGATAACAGTGGAAGCAGCAGTACTCTGTCACTTTTTCATGTCTTAAAGCCAAAGATGTGAGAATAACACACCGTTACTTCAGTTTCTTTTTGTTAGCTAACCTTAGGGTAATGTTTCCTGCTCTTTTTGCTTAAATCACATGCACTTATTCCTCACAATCATCGTGTGTAACATGCCTGAACTTAATATAACTTGACGCCAGTGATGGGCAGCAACGCATAATTAGATTACTTTTTTCAAGTAACGAGTAAAGTAAGGGATTACTGTTGCAAAAAAGGTAATTAGATTACTGTTACTGCCCCGTAAACACGCTGCTCTACTGTGTTACTAAACCGTGAGTTTGTTTGCAAGAGTGTCTCAATGACATAAGTGCATGCGACGTTTGTGGTAACAAACGTGTGCAGATCAACAATGGATCATTTATCGAGTGCGAGAGAGAGAGTGCGACCGTTTAAAGGCGTTTATGTGAAAACAATAGACAAGTACCGCCCACTGTCATTTTTCATCTCCCTTTACAAAAAGGTTTGTGTAGAAACGCCACAAATTGGAAGCATTACATTTCTTGTCTTGGAGGAGAGCCCCCCCCCCACACACACACACACACACTTATGTTTTTGTTTTCATATAATATTTAAAAACAATAAACTGAATAACTTTAAATGATTTATTTTCAGGAGTCATTTTCGTCTCGTTCATCTTACTGACGTTTTGTTACCTTGAGATTAGCTAACAAAGCAGCAACCACACAACACTTTATCACAGCAAGATCATAAAACGTCTCTTAATGTTGGACCACAAAAGATCCAGCAGTCGTATGAACCTGTGATTCATATACACTCATGCATATATATTTGGAATCGTCGCCTTTAGGCGCTGCATTGCTGGAAACCTTCTAAAATGATTGATTAGTGTCTTCTGTGACTTACGGTGATGTGGTCAAACAGTTTGAAAGTGGAGGTGCCACAGCTGGAGGTGGTGGTAATGCGGTCCGGGTATTTTCGCACAGTGCCACCCTGCCAATCACAGCTGCCGTCCTGTCCCGCTACCACCACCAGGCCCTCTTTGTTCTTCAGATACACAGGCCCCCTCGCACCATACCTGTGAACAACATGGCTGTGGTCAGAGGCAGCCTTACTTACTCAGTGATATTACTCAACCTGCTTTGCGCCCTGTGATTTTAATCATTACATGGATTCTACAGCCTTCTCAAAATGACCACAGGTTACATTTTAATAAACTGTTAATATTGCATATCCCTGTACAAACTCCACAAGCATGGAGAACACTGATGTTATTAAATTACACTTTCCTTGCAATAAACAAGCAGCAACCTCCAGAGGTTAGCTGAGCTAACGTAGAAGTGCCACAAACACAAGGCTGGCTCCACAGCACCGTCCCTCCCCACAGACTCAACTTCAGCAATGCAATTAACTTATTTAAAGCCTGGTAGAGAAAAGATTCGGGGTTTTAGCTGATTTTCCCCGCTCACAATAAATGTTTAAGGAATTAGTTTAGTAAATTTATACAATTTAAAACTCATTTTGAGGTTTTTAAGAGAAAATAAAACTAGCGTGTATACTGTTAAATATACATTGATTAGCGTGCAATTACATCTTCCTACAAATTCATTCATTGTCATAAACTTTGAATTCGTCTATTAAAAATACACGAGTGGTTGGCCGTCTGTGAGCTGTTGTACAGCTGCATTCAACAAAGGAAAAGAAGAAGACTGCAGAACAAAACACAGGACTGAAGGTTCTTACTCTGGGATAAACACCAAGACACCGTTGTCTCGAATGGAGTAGACAACAGCGTCAGCCACACAGCACGGGTCTGTCTGAGGGTCTCGTTCTCTGAAAAACAGACACTGAAACAGTGCTGTGGATCGCATTTGGGCTGCCTGTGCTGCCTGCAAATGAAACACAGACGTCAGCACAGCTTCTGTTAATAGAGTAAGAGGTGAATCATTGAAAAACACAAACAATAAAACACCCCTCACCCTGTTCTTGCTGTTGACATGGTGAGCCATTTCCTCCACTTCTTTGTTACTGGCTGGTGCTTTACCAGATACAACGCCGCTCTGCATGTGCAGGGCTGCGGTAAGAAGGCGGTGCACGACAATGTCTGCGTACCGACGGATGGGTGAGGTAAAGTGTGTGTAGCGATCCAGAGCCAGACCTACGACAACGAAGCAAATATCAGCACGTTAGCCTTCTTTTTAGTTCTCGGTCGAATAATTCTTCACAAACAACAGACGTTGGACAAGTGTGTGCAGACGTGTGATGGATGGACTGACCCACAGTCACACTGAAACTCTAGTGGAGCCAATAAAAGCTGTGCAGAGGTATCGTACCATAATGGTAGTATTGGTCTTGAGGATGAGCACCAGTGGAGAAGTACAGAGCCTGTGACATAGCAGTGGTGGCCATCATTCTGAACAACCTGTTCACCAAGGGGTCCTGTGGGTCCACAGCTCGGTCCAGTGAGGCAGCTAAAGCCTTGTTGGACCTGAAGGAACAGAGCCAGAAACCAGGGATGAGTGAGGCCTCTCATCTCAGCAGTCAGTGACACATAGCTACTTGCATCACCATGTCTCTTGTCCTGGGACCGGTTCTGCTGTTGGTTTAACCCCCCCCACAATCCTCCAACCGCACATTCATATTTTGTTTTCAAACTCCATCCCAGTTCATTCCACGCCTCAGATCCTCAGACCTTTTGTAAACAGTTAAAGAAATAAAAGTTAACTGTAATAGATTACAGGTTGTAATTAAATAAATCACTGCCTCTTTTAAAAAACAGAAAAACAAACCATCTTTAATTATTTGACGCAGAGTTGTTTGTTTTGTTCCCGTGTGAGAATATTCAACACTGCTCTCTGTGCAAAACGGGTTTAAAAGCATAAACAGCTGTGGGATCCTGTTTGTCCGGGATTTGAACCGGGGAACAAACTGCGGCAGGATCAGCGTTGTGCCGAGGTC